CCTATTGAACCTCTCTATTCTCTTGGGAAAGCCCATCTCCTTCCTACCATGAGAATTTAACATCCTTCCCCCTCCCCCACCCATCCTCCTCCTCTAATTGTTGTCAGTCATGGGCCTTGAACTCAGGGCCTGAGTGCTGTCCCTGAGCCTCTTTGTGCTCAAGCCTAGCACTCTACCACTTGAGCCAACAGCGCCACTTCCGGTTTGTTGGAGATAAAGAATCTCACCGGGCCATTTCTATCTGGGCTGGCTTTGAATCATGATCCTCAGACCTCAGCCTCCTGAGGAGATAGGATGACAGGCAGGAGCCACCAGCACCCAGCAATTGTGGTATTTTTGTTTTCCTCTTCAAGCAAGGACACCCATTTCCAAGCCAGCTCTGATCTCGCAGCTGGAGGAAGGGAACGAGCCTTTCACGCAGCGGCAGGAAGTGTTGCCTAGAGGAGACTGGAAAACGGCCTTCCCAAGTAAGTTATGCTTTGCTTTTCATTTGCAGGGGGGGTGGGTGGGGGGGATACTAGAGCTAGAACTCAAGGCCTCGAAACTGTCCCTTTGCTTTTCTACTCAAGGCTGGAACTCTGCCACTTGAGCCACAACTCTTCCTTTTTTCTTTTTTTTGGTCGGTCGTGGGGCTTGAACTCAGCCTGGGCACTGTCTTTGACCTCTTCAGCTCAAAGAGAGGGCTCTACCACTTGAGCCACAGCACCACTTCTGGTTTTCTGGTGGTTGATTGGAGATAAGAGTCTCACAGTCTTTCCTGCCCAGGCTGGCTTTGAACCATGATCCTCAGATCTCAGCCTCCTGAGTAGCTAGCATGACAGGCCTGAGCCACTGGCACCTGACCAGATCTGTGTTCTTTATGCCTGGCACTTTGAAGAGTACCTTGGGCTCCTTGATCAAACCATTCCTGCTGGGTTCTTCTTCAGACTGGAGCAGGCTGGTTGTGTTATACGCCGGAATGCTTTTGTCCTTGGGGATATGGAGAAAACATTTTCTAAATAAATGGTTATGCATGATCATTTTTTCCCACTTTGTTTTACAGGGTCAATAAATGGGCTGCACTGTTTCCTTTCTTTTCTTTCTTTTTTTAATTTTTTAATTGGCCATGGGGCTTGAACTCAGGGCCTGGGTGCTGTCCCTAATGCTCTACTACTTGAGCCACAGTGCCACTTCTGGTTTGGGGGTGGTTAACATTGGAGTTAATTGGACTTTCCTGCCCAGGCTGGCTTCAAACTGCGATCCTCAGATCTCAGCCTCCTGCGTAGCTAGGATTATAGGCGTGAGCTACAGGTACCCAGCTGGCTACACCATTTTCTTGTCCACTAGCCAGTAGAACTAATAGAAAAATTATTATTATTTTTTTTGCTTTTCACGCTTAGAGAATATGTTAAAAGATTCAGATCATTTATCTTTTTGTGCCAGCATTAGGAACTGAATTCAGGACATCCTGCTTTTGCTTAGTATTTTTTTGTTTGCTCAAGGCTGGTGATCTACCACTTTTGCCACACCTCCTTGTACTTCAGGCTTTGTACTGATTAATTGGAGATAGGCAACTCACGGACTTGACTGCCCAGGCTAGCATCAAACCACGATCCTCAGATCTCAGCCTTCTGAGGATCTAGGATGACAGGTGTGAGCCACCAGCACCTAGCTTAGATAACTGGGAAATTAAGATCCTTGAAGGTAACTTACAGATACCGTTGTTTTTCTCTCCTCTAGGATTAATATTGAAATTAAGAAGATATGCTTACTTAGTTAAAATAATACAATATCCTGAGAGGTTTCCTTGCTGGGAAGACAGAAAAAAGGCTTAAATTTTGACCTTTAAATAACAGTTTTCTAAGGCGGAACAGGTGCCATATGAAATGATCTGAAACATATGGTTTGTTTCTCAACTCATTAAAATTCATGTTGCTATACAAAGGAGGCTCACGTCTTTTTATTTTTCTTTAATTTTTAGTGTTAGTACTAGTAGTTAGGCCTTGGAGCTAACCCTTAGTTTTTTCCCTGTGAGGCTGGTACTCTACCTCTTAAGCCATAACTTCATTGAAGATTCTCATGGACTTCCTTCCCCAGGCTGGCTTTGAACTACAATTCTCAGAGCTCAGCCTTCTGCGAAGCAAAGATGATAAGCATGAGTCACCAGCTCCCAGCTAGTTTCCTAAAAGTTCTTTTTACTTATTTATATTTTAACTATTTCTTTTTGCCAGTCGTGGGGCTTGAACTCAGGACCTGGCCACTGTCCCTGAGCTGCTTTTGCTCAAGATTAGCACTCTACCACTTGAGCCACAGCGCCACTTCTAGCCTTTTCTGAGTATGTGGTACTGAGGAATCGAACCCAGGGTTTCATGTATGCTAGGCGAGCACTCTACCACTAAGCCACCTTCCCAGCCCAAGGGCTTTCAGTTCTTTATGTGAGGTTATGAGTGTAATGCATCTTGGTTAGTGTCACCCCTTTGATCATTCTCCATCTCTCCTAACCCCATACATTATCTCAGTCATATTTCCAGGATTCATCTGTCCTGTAATGGATATCAATGCATCACTATCAGGTAACATTTATTTTTTATTTCTGTGGTCGTGGGGCTTGAACTCAGGCCCTGGGCACTGTCTTTGAGTTCTTCATCTCCAGGCTAGCACCCTACCACTTGAACCACAGTGTCACTTCCTGTTTTCTGGTGGTTCATTGGAGATAAGAGTCTCATGGACTTTCCTGCCCAAGCTGGCCTTGAACCATGATCCTCAGATCTCAGGCTACTGAGTAGCTAGGATGACAGGCGTGAGCCATCAGTGCCCAACCCTTGTATTTCTTTCCCTATAACATTGGTATGAGATGGTATTGTCAAGTATTCCTCCTCTTTATCAGGTGGGAAAAGCTGCTCTGAGAATGAACTCCCAATTTCCAGTAACCACAAAACCTGTGTTCTGGTTAATTTCTGTCAAAAGCCTATGCAAGGTGGTCAGCCTGGAACTGGTTCTGAAGCAAGCAGGCCCCAAATATACCCGAGTGTATAGTCCCGGATGTTGAGATCGTTGATGGATAATTGTCCTGAGGTGGTCTTTGTTTGGGCTCTGCCTATGCATTCTACAATAGCTGTCAAAGAACTCAGGGCTGAATTAAAGCACAAGATACCTGCCGTGTGGAAGGTTGAGCACCAGGTGGCGCTATTCTTTCAATCCTTGTATGAAGCTTCTCTTTATACCCTTGATGGCTGCAATCAGAAAGTGTCAGATCTTTCCTGCCAGCCTAGAATGGAAGCTTATTTATTCTGTTCTACTTCTAAGGAGGTCAGTCGTGACTACTGAGAGAAACTTGGGAAACCCAATCCTGTGAGTTCTCAAGATTCATTTTCACGTGTATATGTGTATGTGCATGTGCACATGCGTGCATGCACGCATGCACATGCTTGTGCACGCATGTGCTGGGGTCTAATCTCAGGGCCTGGGCACTGTCCCTTAGCTTTTTTGCTCAAGGCTAGTGCTTTAACACTTGAGCCCCAGCTCTACTTCCGGCTTTTTGGTGGTTCACTGGAAATGCTGACTTTGACCCTCACATCTTTTTTTTTTTTTTTTTTTTTTTTTTTTTTTTTTTTTTTTTTTTTAATTTAATTTAATTTTATTTGTGAACATACTGTACAGAGGAGTTACAGTTACATGGGCAGGATAATGTGTACATTTCTTACCAAGCATTGCAGCCTCCTCCTTTGTTTATCCTTCACATCCCTTCCCAGCCTCCCCCCTCCCCCCTAATCCCAATCCTTCTCCTTCCTCCCTCCCCCCAGCCCCCCCCCCACCAACATTGTAAAGTTCGTTTTGGACATGACAACTTGTACTTCTCATTGTTGCAACAGGTGGACCTGTTGCAACAATGAGTACAAGTTGTCATGTCCTAAAGTTCATTTTCGACATAACGACTTGTACATCTCATTGTTGCAATTGGTCCAACTGTATCCCTATTTATTTTTTTATGACCCTCACATCTTTAACAAGCTGCAGATCCTCATATCTTAATCGGCTCCTGACCTTCAGAAGTTGCTAAGCCAACCATGGTGGCTGTACGGGAAAGCGCCTTACATTCATTATCTGCTTGAATCTTTGTAGACTGCTGTGGGTGGCTGATACCTGCGGTATCCTAGCTACTCAGGAGGCTGAGATCCTGAGGATCATGGTTCAAAACCAGCCCTGGAAGGAAAGTCCCATGAGACTCATATCTCCAGGGAAACCCAGCCCCAAAGCCAGAAATGGGGCGGTGGTGTGGCTCAAATAGTAGAACGCCAGCCTTGAATGGAAAAGCTACGGGACAGTACCTAGGTCCCTCTTACTGTCACACACACACACACACACACACACACACACACACACACACACACACACACACACACACACACACACCTTAGCTCCTTGCCCTGATCGTGTTAGCAGGGCGACACAGCCCCACCCTCCACCCTGAACCCCAACAACTTTTGCACAAACGTGTGGATCTCTTGAGAAAAATCTGTCCATTGTGAAGTAGGCATCAGCTTTTTCCTTCCAAACCGCCTTTGGGAACTGAGCCCGAGAGAGGGAAAAAAAAAAAAAAGGTAGTAGTGAAAGAGCTTTGCCTCCTTTCTGGGGTTTTGCCGCAGACGTTGGCAGTTGAGGGGGGAGCAAGGGGAGACACCCCCCCCCCAGGTAGCATATACACCATCTTATTTGCACACATTAGAGGCCAAATTGGGGAGCTCTGTGCCAGGCACCCCTGGCTAGCCTTGGCGATGGACCCAGAGGGTGGAGCCTTCATTCCCAGCTCACCCAGCCCAGCCCTGGGCAGGACTTTTATTGTGAAGGGAGGTTCCCCTCCCTTGCTTTGCTGGGACACTCACTCCTGGCTGGGACTTTGCAAACTTTGCCAAAAACAAAAAGTGCAGCTGATCTGCCCGACTTTGCAGCTGCTTAGAGACTCCCTTAGATCCTTCTAGATCGCAGCGATCCAGGCTTTCAGATCGCTCTGGGAGCTCTCCCACCTGTGGGGCGTTCTGTGTGCCTAGCACCCTGGAACTTTACACAGGGTGCCTCTCCCCTCTCCCAGCCCCACTCTGCTAGGTACATTGCCTGGTGGGGGGCTAGAGGAAATGAATCTGCTCGTTGGATGAACACCTCACAGCACTGGCAGCAAACCTGCAGAGACATGGTAGGGATTCCAGGAGGTAATCATGGGTGTGGGTGGGCCTTGTGTGTGTGGAGGGGGGGGGACCCTGCACAGGTGGCTTCCAGGGCAGCCATTGGCTCTGGGTGTGTACAGCTGGTCTTGGGGTCCTGCCTTTCTCAGGATGCTCTACCCCTTGAGCCCCAGCACCACTTCTGGCTTTGCCGTGGTTCATTGGAGCTAAGAGTCTCATGGGCTTTTTCCTGCCTGGGCTGGCCTCGAACCACGATCCTCAGATCTCAGCCTCCTGAGTAGCAAGGATGACAGGCATGAGCCACTGGCCTGTGGCCCAAATGACTTCTTTAAAAGTTAACACCGATCATCTTAATTGGACAAAATGGACGTGTTTCTTCTCGAAATCCTAGGAACTGGTTTTGTGTACATTGCTTGTACAGAAGTAGGAGAGATGGGCTGGGAAGGTGGCTCAGTGGTAGAGTGCTCGCCTAGCATGCAGGAAGCCCCTGGTTCGAGTCCTCAGGACCACATCCACAGAAAAAGCTGGAAGTAGCACTGGGGCTCAAGTGGTAGAGCGCTAGCCTTGAGCCAGAGAAGCTTAGGGACAGTGCCCAGACCCTGAGTTCAAGTCCCAGGACTGGGGGAAAAATGTAGGAGAGAAACCGAACCAGTAGTGTGGATGTTACCTGTCCTACTTTGCTAATGGTACCTAACTCCGGCCACTGGATTCCCTCCTTCCCAGCCTCCAGCTCCAGCTGTCCATCACTGCTGGACGTACAGGGGTTGGCACATCTGTCCTGGTCCAGCGTTTCTCCCCACCACTGGCTTGGATTTCCACGAAAGTGGCCGCGGGACGGGGCTGTATCCCAGGCTGTTTACCTGTGGGCAGTTTTGTTTGGCTTTGGTGGGTGTTGGCTGGCAGTGAGCATACAAACTCTTCCAGAAAAATCATCCAGAGAATTCCAGTTCTCTCATCTTGGCTTGGGGTGGTTAGATTCATGGTTCTGGGTTGAGGAGCCAAGTTGGGTAGTGAATTTTCCAGAAATGCTGTACTTAGCGAGCCAAGAACTAGTCAAAAGACCCATGTATGGGTATGGGCCAGGTGCTGTGGCATACTCCTATCATCCTAGCGACTCAGGAGGCTGAGATCTGAGGATCATAGTTTGAAGCCAGCCCAACAGGAAAGGTGAGACTCTTTTTTTATCTCCAGCGAACCATCGAAAAGCCAGAAGGGGAGCTGTGGCTCAAGTGGTCTAGTGCCAGCCCTTTTGAGTGGAAAAGCTAAATGACCAGACCTATGTCCTGAGTTCAAGTCTCAGGACTGGCACAAAAATAGATCAGTAAAAAGCTTAGGTCTGGGAAGGATCTTTCACCCACAGGTACTATGTGGGTAACCTCTGGAAGGGTGCCATGCTATGGTGTGTGTGGTAGCAATTCTAGATTGTTCGTGGTATATCTTTCTGCTGGCCTCACTGGGAAAGATCCTTCCTATGCCCAGAAAGGACCCTGTACTCAAATTCACCCAGAATCACCCACCCCAGCAGCCTTCTTAGAACCCAAGGGTGTCATTGTATTCCTTGCTTTGTGTTTTTTTGTTTTGGTGCCAGTCCTGGGGCTCGAACTCAGGGCCTGGATACTGTCCCTGAGCCTTTTTTTTTTTTGCTCAAGGCTGGTGCTCTACTACTTAAGCCACAGCTCCACTTCTGGCTTTTTGGTAGCTCATTCCACATAAGAATCTCAAGGACTTTCCTGCCTGGGCTGGCTTTGAATCCGTGATCCTCAGATCTCAGCCTCCGGTGGTTCTAGCTTTATTATTCATCACTTCATTGAGCACTGAGTCCTTGAAATACTCCGGATGTCATCACTGGTCATCAAGACACCAGAGAGACTTAACAGCCACATCACTAAGTAGGAGGGGCTAGTTGCTAAGTAGGAGGGGCTAGTTGCTAAGTAGGAGGGGCTACAGTGTCTAAGGATGGGCTATAGTTTCTAAGTAGGAGGGGCTATGTTTCTAACGGGGAGGGGCTTCACGGACCGGAGAGCAAGACAATCCATCGAAGTTAAAGATAACCAAAGAATTTTATTTACACTAGAAAGAGGGCCTGTGACTACCTTGTCCTGCGTTGTATACCCAGAACTCAGAGCAGCCTCGACCACCAAACCTCCAAGCCTCCAGTGGGCAGCTCGGACCTTTATTGGTTGGTCTGCAAACCTCCAACCCCAGACCTCCAAAGCTCCTAACCTCCACAGGCCCTGCTGGTTAATACGTGAGTCCTTCCACCCCAGGTGAGACGTCCTACTCAGCTCTCCAAAGGCTCCCATTTCTGTTTCTGGTCTGTGGGCATCTTCCGTTAAGAATGGATGTCTTTGAAGCCAACCACGGGGCTCACCCCTGTAATCCCAGCGACTAGGGTGGCAGGGATTGGGTGGCAGATGGCAGTTCTAGGGTCAGTGAGGAGATCCATTTGAGAGCCTCTCCCATTGAGTAGGTGGACAGCATGGTGCATGCCTGTCATCCTAGCGACACAGCAAGTGAAAATAGGCGGATTGCTGTCCAGATGACACATAGGATGCTTTCGAGATCTATTTCCACCCCCCCTGCAAAAAAAGGCAAGAGGGTATGAAGTATATGCCTGCCTATAACCAGAAATCTCTGACTTGAACCCCAATAAGTACTTATACCAATAAGTAAATAGGTATTTTTATAAAAACAAAACCAAAAGGCAAAAGTGAAGTCTTAGGCGATCTTGGTGGTACAAGGCAGTAGGGTGTGGGGCTTGTGGTAAAGTAGGGAAAGTGAGTCACAGAAGGACACCTCCCTTTCCTCCAACCATGTTGGCAGTGTGGGTTCCAAGTTGTGTCTAGAACTTCCTCCTCTTTCAGGGGAAGCTGGCCATCTGAATTTTTATGGGAAATACCTTGGATTTTTAAACATTAACTCAAATGGATTGAAAATGGTTCTGGCCAAACAAAACACATCTGCAGGCCAGCTTTTTTTTCTTTCTTTCTTTCTTTCTTGCCAGTCCTGAGGCTTCTTTTTACTCAAGGCTGGATGCTCTACCACTTGAGCCATCGCACCACTTCTGGCTTTTTCTGTGTATGTGGTACTGAGGAATCAAACCCAGGGCCTCATGCGTGCAAGGCAAACACTCTACCACTGAGGCACCTTCCCAGTCATGCAGGTTAGCTTTGACCTTGGTAGCTTTGACCTTGGATCTGGCTTCAAAACTCTCAAAACTCTCTGGGTGGAATCGTACAGAAGTCTTTATTACCTTCTGGGAATGATAAAAATCTGTTTCAAGTCTTACTATGTTTTGGTGCCAATCGTAGGACTTGAACTCAGGGTCTGGGCATGATCCTTTAGCTCTTACGCTCAAGGCAGATGCTCTTATCTCTTGAGCCACACCTCTACTTCCGGCTTTTGGGTAGTTCATTGGCATCTCATGCACTTTCCTGTCGGGGCTGGCTTTGATCTCCACTCCTCAGATCTCAGCCTCCTGAGTAGCTTGTATTACAGGCGTGAGCTACCGGTCCTGGTTTGCAGGCTTTCCTGATTAGCTCAGCCTTCCTCCTCTTCTCTGTGGAACAGAGAGAGTAGAAATCTCTAGAAGGGGAGAAAGAAGCCACCCAGAGGCAAACAGCCTTTAATATCTATATAGTATATAGAGATATACTGTATGTTATATATATTTAGATATAGTTTGTATATTATATATTTATGGAATTTGGATATATTTTTAAATTAGATATATTTTACTATTAATATAGGACATAGAATTCTATTACATATTATTTTATTATTATAATATCTTATATATAATTATATATATATATACATTTTTTTTTCAACAACAGCTTCCTCTCTCCCCTCTCCTCCCTTCCCCACCCCAAACCCACACCCCAGCCTGAAGAAAAATGTCTAGCTGTTAGCTCCAAGACAGCAAGAGAACATTTCTAACAAATGACAGGGGCTCTAAAATTCCCTGTGGTTTTGTGGTGTTCTCATATGGGGCTTCCTGAGAATTAAAGCAGTATGTTGCTCAAGCTGGAGATGGGGAGAAGGGAGGGGGTCTCTTGGGGGGCTGGCAAAGCCTGCAGAGCCTGACTAGATGGGCGACACCCCCATCTCAAGGCCAGACAATGGCTAACACCCACCAGCAATTCTTATCATGGTCCCACGATTCCGCCTTGGAGAGAATCTCCAGACATTTCTAGAACAATCACAGCTCTGTGCTGGGCTGCTGGTGACTCACGCCTGTCATCCTAGCTACTCAGGAGGCTGAGATCTGAGGATCTTGGTTCGAAGCCAGCCTGGGCAGACAAATCCCATAGCTGCTTAGCTAACAAAAAGGCAGACTTGGAGGTGTGGCTCAAGTGGTAGAGCACCAGCTGTGAACTTGAAAAAAACTGAGTGAGTGCATGAGGTCCTGAGTTCCTGTTACCAACATGCACACACACACACACACACACACACACACACACACTTCTTTCTTTCTCAGGTCCTGGGACTTGAACTCAGGGGCTGGGCACTGTCCCTGAGCCTCTTTGTGCTCAAGACTAGTGCTCTACCACTTGAGCCACAGGGCCACTTCTGGCTTTTTCTGAGTAGTTTATTAGACATAAGAGTCTCAGGGAACTTTCCTGCCTGGGCTGGCCTCCAACTGCGATCCTCAGATCTCAGCCTTCTGAGTAGTGAAGATGACAGGTGTGAGCCACCAGTGCCTGGCTGCCCTGACTGCTATCCGATCTGCGGGGTGCCTGGCTCCCCACGCTTGCCCACCCAAGGCCTGCGTCCTTCTAGTTTTCCCTGCCTGGAGTCTGGTCCTGGAGGCCAAGGACAGAGAGGCTGAGCAGGTCTCAGGAGCAGAGTCATTCCCAGGACATATGGTTTTAATCGAGTTCTCTGACAATCAACTCGTATTCCTTTTCGCCCCAGCCCTAGCTTTGTTATGACAGTTAATTAACTAAACTTTGCGCACATGCGCACACACACACAGACACACACAAATGGCCCAGAGACTCTAAAATTCCAATCTCAGTGGCAGTGTCAGATCTGAGAGTCAATGAGTCAGTGATGGGTGGGAGAGAGGACGGCTAAAAGAGGGCAAAGGTCAGGGAACAGAACCAGGGTAGGTCCCGTCTTTAGCAAGGATCCCAGGATCAGAGCCAAAGTCAACTTTTTCTCTCCCCCCCCCCCCCCCCCGCTTTGGTACCAATCTTGGGGCTTGAACTCAGGGCCTGGGCGCTGTCCCTGAGTTTCTTTGTGCTCAAGGCTAGTGCTCTACCACTTGAGCCACAGCACCACTTCCAGCTTTTTTCTGAGTAGTGTTTGGAGCTGAGAGTCTCTGGCCTCAAAACCCAATCCTCGGATCTCAGCCTCCTGAGTAGCTAGGATGACAGGCGTGAGCCACCAGCATCCAACAGGCCCCATGTTCTGGCTTGGCTTTCTTTGCCCAAGGCTGGTGCTCTACCACCAGCCACACCTTTCTAGCTTTTCATTGATTAACCCAAGATAAGAGCATCACGGACTTTTCCTACCTGGGCTGGCTTTGAACTGCGATCCTCAGATCTCGGCCTCCTGAGTAGCTGGGATGTCAGGTGTGAGCCCCCAGTGCCCGGCTGACGGTGAGAATTTTCACTGATTAGCAACAGATCAACTTGGTTCCTGCCAGAGAACTTTCTAGTATATTCGACATCATTCTCTCTGTTTTTTTCCTTTCTCCAAACCTTTTAAAGTTATTCAGCTGAGTATTTCTCATCAGAGAACTTTCTTCTTCTCTCCCTCCCTCCTCCCTTATTTCTTTCCCACCCTCCCTCCCTCCCTCCCCCTCTCTACCTTCCTTCTTTCCTTCCTTCTTTCCCCCTCCTTCCCTTCCCCTCTCTCCTTCCCTCTTTCTTTCTTTCTCTTTCCCTCCCTCCCTCCCTTCCTTCTTCCCTCCTTTCCTCTTCCTCCCTTCCCTCTCTCCCTCTCTTTCTTTCCTTTCTTCTTTCCCTCCCACCTTCTTCCTTCCTTCCTTCCTTTCCTCCCTCCCCTCTCCCTTTCTTTCTTTCTTTTTTTTTTTGTCGGTCGTGGGGCTTGAACTCTGGGCCTGGGCGTTGTCCCTCAGCTCTTCAGCTCAAGGCGAGCGCTCTACCACTTGAGCCACAGCGCCACTTCCGGTTTTCTGGTGGTTTATTGGAGATAGGAGTTTCACGGTCTGTCCTGCCCGGGCTGGCTTTGAACCGCGATCCTCAGATCTCAGCCTCCTGAGTAGCTAGGATGACAGGCGTGAGCCACCAGCGCCCGGCTCTTTCTTTCTTTCTTTCCCTCCCTCCCTTCCTCCCTCCCTCCCTCCTTCCTTCCTTCTTTCCCCTCCCTCCCTCCCCTGTCTCCTTCCCTCCCTCCCTCCCTCCCTCTCTCTCTCTCTCTCTCTTTCCAGTTGTGGGGCCTGAACTCTGGGCCTGGGCGCTCAAGGCTAGCGCTCTACCACTTGAGCCACAGCACCACTTCCGGCTTTTTTTTTCTGCTTATGTGGTGCTAAGAATCAAACCCAGGGCCTCATGCATGCAAGGCAAGCACTCTACCACTGAGCCACCTTCCCAGCCCCTTCCTTCCTTCCTTCCTTCCTTCCTTCCTTTCCTTCCTTCTTTCCTTCCTTTCTTTCTTCTTTCCCTCCCTTCCTTCCTCTCTCCCCTCTTCTCCCTCCCCACCCGCCCTCCCTCCTTCCTTCCTTCCTCTCTTTCCCTCTCTCCCCCCTCTCCTTCCTTCCTTCCTTCCTTCTTTTTTCTTTCTTTCTCTCTTTCTTTCCAGTTTGATCGAGGCTGTTTTTCTTTTCCCCAGCTTCTCTTGGGTGGCCTGCCTGGGTTGTCTGCTTATGGCCAAACCTGTTTTTTAGTACAACTGCCAACTTTCCCAGGTTTTCTGAGGCCAAGTTACACCAAGAGCACCAGATGAAAACAACCCGTCTTCTAGAAACATCTTTAAAAGATGATTTGTTTCTCCCAACGGTATCCAGTATTGGGGCGAATGAAGATTATGGAATTCAACTTGGGAACACATTTGTTTCCTTTTTAAAGACAAAGGAGCCCAAACAAATAGATCCATAACCATTTCCCCTTCCGGTGTTAATTGAAATGTTGGCATTCCTGCCAGCTCTTTGGTTCTGGGCAAACTTCAGCCTTCTAGGCCTTTCTGTTTTCCCAGCTGTAAAATAGGAAGGGTGGATTTTTAAAAACGTGTTTATTTTATTTATTTTTTGCCAGCTTTAGGGTTTGAACTCAGAACCTGAGCACTGTCCTCTGAGCTATTTTACTCAAGGCTAGCCATCTATCACTTGAGCCACGGCTCCACTTCTGGTTTTCTGGTGGTTCGTTGGAGATAAGAGTCTCATGGACTTTCCTGCCCCAGCTGGCTTCGAACTGCGATCCTCAGATCTCAGCCTCCTGAGTAGCTAGGATGACAGGTGTGAGCCTGTTTGTGCTTTCCTTTGTCACTGACAAGAATATGTCACGAAGCCCAGTCATTTGTTTCTCTTGTAGCTGAGGTGACATATCCAGCCACTGGTTGAGATGGGGTCGTGCAAACTTCTTTTTTATTTTTCTCCCTCAAGCTCACTTGGAACTGTGATTGTCGGATCTCAGCCTCCTAAGTGGTTGGGATTCTAGGCCTGCGCTACTTGGTGTGCCGTAACAATCTTGACTTCAACCCAGGTCAGCGGACGTGGAACTCCTGGCTTCAAGTATAGATTTCTGTTTTCTTAAGCCATCATCCGGTGGTAATTTGCCTGCCATCCTAGCTACTGAAGAAGCTGAGATCTGAGGATCGCAGTTTGAAGCCAGCCTAGGCAGACAGAATAGAGAGACACTTATCTCCAATAAACCAGCAAAAAGCTAGAAGGGGAGCTGTGGCTCAAGTGGTTGAGCACCAGCCAGCAAGAGCACCACCATCTGCATTGCTCTGGGCTTCGGCCAGTCTTTCCCAGGTCTTAGATGTTTTGTGCTTTCCCCCTATCCCGTGTTCCAGGCATCATGGCTCTGGAGAAAGCTTCTCAGCAAGAAGCAGTCGGTGGCGGCTTGCTGTCTCGCGATGACTCTGTATGTCATGGCTGTCACCCGCTTCCCCACCGATCCTCCAGCCTCTGGCACTGATAGTGATTCCAGAAAGCCCCATGAGGAGTCGGACACTCCTGACCCCTGCATTGTTCGGGTTCTGAGCGCTAGCCGGAGGCAGCATATAAGAAGAAACCTAGGGTCCCGGAGAGGCCGGACTTTGCCTAGAGATTCCATCCTGCTTTGTTCCAAGAAGCGAGGGAGAGCAGACACACGCCAACGGTCCCTGGGAGGGGACACCAAGCATCCAGGGAGAGCCAGGAGAGACCTAGCTTCAGCAGGAGATCTGAGACTCAGGGTCCACCATCTTGGGCTCCTGAAGGAGGTCAGAGAGCCAGGCTATGGTGGCTCCAGCCGGGTGATGGCCACGGGTGACCTGGTCACCCGTGATCAGGAAGGAAGTGACCAGCTAGCCCCCCACGTTGGACAGATCTCTGGGCCTCTTGCATCGGAAGGCAAGGAGAGAGTCTACACTGTTCGGGGCCCCCAGCAATGGCCTCCTTCTTTTGGGGACCTCCAGACTTCTGTGTGGTGCGAGGCTGAGAGTTCTGGCCTATGGGCCAGCCCAGGGCCTGGGGGGGCCCTCCCCCCATGGTTCAGCCAGGAGGACTCCAACAGGCTCCAGCTCTTGACCCATGGGGAGCTGGTGGACAAAGCCAGAGTCCCCGCCCATGGGCAGGTGCTCCAGGTGGGCCTCTGGCTGCCAGGAGCCTATCAGGATACACCTCCCCGCGTGCTCAGCCAATGGTGTTCTTCGGGGCTCTGTGGGCTGATCAAAAGGCCGGGGGACCTGCTGGAGGTGCTGGCCTTCCACGTGGACCGAGTCCTGGGCCTGCGCCGGAGCCTGCCCGCCGTGGCCCGCCGCTTCCACAGCCCCCTCCTGCCCTACCGCTACACGGACGGCCAGGCCAGGCCGCTCATCTGGTGGGCGTCCGATGTCCTGCATTTGGGTGATCCGGATGAAGATCAGAACTCGCTGGCCTTGGGCTGGCTGCAGTACCAGGCGCTGCTGGCCCACGGCTGCCATGGGGCAGGCCGGCCCCCCTGCCTGGGCATTCGCCGGACTGAATGGGCCCGCCTGGCCCTCTTTGACTTCCTGTTACAGGTAAGGGGAGGGGGTGGGTAGAGGGTAGAGAGGTGAAGCCTAGACTCTCCACCAATGATGCTGACTCTCCCCATTGTCACAAGCTACTCTGTCTGTCCATCCATCCATCCATCCATCCATCCATCCATCCATTCATCTATCCATCTATCCATCCATCCATCCATCCATCCATCCATCCATCCATCCATCCATCCATCCATCCATCCATCCATCCAGCTATCTATCTATCTATCCATCCTTCTGTCCATCCATCCATCCATCCATCCATCTATCCATCCATCGAGCTATCTATCCATCTATCCCTCCCTCTCTCTCTCTCTCTCAGTACTGAAATTTGAATTCAGGAGCTCACATTTGCTGTACCACCAGAACCACACTTCCAGCTCTTTTTGCTTTTAAGTTTCTTTCTTGATAAGGTCTGATGCTTTTTTTCCACCCTCTCCCGCCCACAGCTGTGGACTGTGACCTTTCTATCTATGCCTAGTATCTGGCTGGGATTACAGGCATGCGCTACCACACCTAACAATTTATGAGTCTCATTAACTTTGTGTGTGTGTGTATGTGTGTGTGTGTGTGTGTGTGCGCGCTCGTGCACGTGCGTCCTGGGGCTTGGACTCAGGGCCTGGGCGCTGTCCCTGAGCAGGGCTTCATGCATGCTAGGCAAGTACTCTACCACCGAGCCACAATCCCAGATTGGCCTGGAACTGTAATTCTCCTGATCTCTGTCTCCTGAGTAGCTCCTCTCCTCATTGTCTTTTTCCTTTCCTTTTCTTCTTCCTCTTCCTCCTCCTAATTTTGAGACAGGGTTGGCTGGAAACTCAACCCTCCCGCCTCGGCCCTCCCAAGTGCTGGGGTTACAGGCATGCACCACCGTGCCCAGCCCTGTCCTGACGATTTACTGCACAAGAAGGTCTGGGCTGCTGGGGAGCCCAGCTGGCTGCTTCCATGCCTCTCACTTTCCAGCCACTCCTGGATTCGGAGGTGACAGCCAGACGGGTCAGGGTCAGAATGCCCCCCATCTTCCATGGTGTGGGGTTGAGCCGCCTGTTCCCTAACTTGACTGAGGGCAGGACTTCCTGTGTCAGGAGGAAGCACTCTTCCCTCTTTCTAGCTCCTACTGGACCCTCTCACCTGGAAAATACATACAAACAGCGCCCCCTGCAGGCGTCCACAGACACTCACCACAGGCCCTTTGCATGATGGATGGCAAAAGCAAACGCCAGGGATTCGCTCCCCCGCCCCCCATCATCCTAGATGAGCATGATGATGGTAGAAGATACCCCAGGACAGGTGGCCTGAGTGTCCACACCCCCACTTACAGACTGCCTGTGCCCCCCAGGTTCATGACCGCCTGGATCGTTACTGCTGTGGCTTCGAACCTGAGCCAACAGAGCCCTGTGTAGAAGAGAGGCTCCGAGAAAAATGTCAGAACCCTGCTGAACTGCAGCTGGTCCACATCCTGGTAAGCCTGTCCAGTTCCTCAGCCCCAACCTGCGTCTTCCCGTCTCCAGAAAAACATGTTTTTATGTTCCTTTCTGCCAGTCCTGGGGCTTGAACTCAGGGCCTGGGCGCTGTCCCTCAGCTCTTCAGCTCCAGGCAAGCGCTCTACCACTTGAGCCACAGCGCCACTTCTGGTTTTCTGGTGGTTCATTGGAGATCAGTCTCACAGACTTTCCTGCCAGGGCTGGCTTTGAACTGCGATCCTCAGATCTCAGCCTCCTGAGCAGTTAGGATGGCGGGCGTGAGCCACCGGCGCCCAGCCTGTGGCCATGTTTTGAGATGATCTGTGACAGATTTCCCAGTCTGGGTGCTTGAACATACATCTAAGAAGTCACAATATAGAAGGAACCAGGAATCCCAGAGGCTCTGAATGAAAAAACAGGGTGGGGGTGAGCAGAGCGTGCTTTCCAGCTGTATTCTGGGGACCAAAATTCATCATGGCTAGCAGAGGTTGCCAGAGAGGATTATGGGAAAATAGCTATGCATTTAAGAAGGCCCCAAAGAACTCCTCCTGGAAACTGAGGCTGGTCCATGTTTTTCTGGGAAAGTATTGGATGTTCTTGGCAATGCTCAAGGGACTGTGTATGTGTGTGTGTGTGTGTGTGTGTGTGTGTGTGTGTGTGTGTGAGAGAGAAAGAGAGAGAGAGAGAGAGATGGGGCTTGAGCTCAGGACCCGGGCATTCTCCCTGTGCTTTTTATTTTGCTCAAGGCTAGCACTTTATCACTTGAGCCACAGCACCACTTCCGGTTTTGGAGGGTGCATTAGAGATAAAAGTCTCACGAGCTTTCCTACCCAGGATGGCTTTGAACCGTGATCCTCAGATCTCAGCCTCTTGAGTAGCTAGGATGACAGGCATGAGCCACCAGCGCCCAGCCTGAAGACTTTTGATGTCCAAGCTCAGGGGTACAGCTGGCAGAAGAGGTGAGCGTGTGTAGGGTGTGAGTGTGAATGTGTGTGATACTGACGGCCCTGATTGGTGGGTTCTTTCACACCTGTGCTATTTCCCACCCAAGCTCCCTACCGCCTTCAGCCAGGAGTCAGAGTCCCTCACCCCCACCAGGCCTTACAATCTTAGCAGGTGTTGCTCTGGCTTAGGTTTATGGGTTCAATTTCGAATCCTAGACGTGGCTGCTTACTAAGCTGTGTGAATTGATTACATTTCCAGTATAGCTTTCTCTCTCTAAGCGTGATGGCTCAAGTCTGTCATCCTTGCTACTGAGGAGGCTGAGATCTGAGGATCAAGGTTCAAAGCCAGCCTGGGCAGTAAAGCCCGTGAGAGTCATCTCCAGTGAATCCCCAGAAAGCCAGATGTGGCGCTGTGGCTCTAGGAGTAGAGCACTAGCCTTGTTCGAAAAAGGCTCAGGGACAGCACCTGAGCCCTGAGTTCAAGCCTCGGGACATATGCACATGTGTGTGTGCACACACACAAATAGTACTAATTTTCTGTATTGTATTTGGAAAGGTTGCTGGCAAGACTTGCTTGAGATAACATTGAGCCAAACACAGTTAGTACTGACAAGATCCCACAGGTGCCAGCCCGCTGTGGGTTGACCAGTTGTCTCTTGTGTCTCCTTTTCCCTCTTCCTCCCAGGTTCGCAGCAGTGATCCATCTCATCTAGTCTACATCGACAATGCCGGCAATCTCCAACAACCAGAGGACAAGCTGAACTTCCGGCTGCTGGAGGGCATAGATGGGTAAGCACCCAACAAATGCAATAGAGGTTCTTTGTGTCGCTCATGGGGCTTGAACTCAGAGCCTGGGCGCTGTCCCTGAGCTCTTTTTTTATTCAAGGATAATGCTCTACCACTTTGAGCCACAGCACCACTTCCTTTTTTTTTTTTTTTTTTCTGGTGGTTCATTGGAGGTAAGAGTCTCACGGCCTTTCCTGCCCTGGCTGGATTTGAACCGCAATCCTCCAGATCTCAGCCTCTTGAGTAGCTAGGATGACAGGCGTGAGCCACCGGTGCCTGCCTTCACTTGTGTTTTTTTGCTTTTTATTGTTGTTTTCTTTTCCATGGGGACTTGGTTCCAGGTTTCCTGCGTCTGCTGTGAAGGTTCTAGAATCTGGGTGTCTAGAGAATCTGCTACTCAAGTCCTTGCGGATGGATCCAGTGTTCTGGGAGAGCCAAGGCGGGGCCCCGGGGCTGAAGCAGGTCCTGCAGACCCTGAGTCGGAGGGGCCACATCTTACTGGCGCACATCCGGAAGTACAACCTCACTCTCTTCCGGGATGAGGACCCATAAGCCCTGCTCAGGGATGGCCCACCACACGGGTGGACACCCGACACATCACTCTGAGCCTCCACACACATTTCTATGAGGTCCTCCCACGGCTCATGAGGACCAACAGGAAAAGCCAGGAGCCATGTGGGTTCCATCTTGGTTGGCTGTTAACTCCGGGGCACCAAGAACTCTCTTCAAGAATGTTCTGTGAACTTCTCCATGCAGTGGTGCATTATACAGGCATATATGGACATGTGAACTCCAGGCTGGATGATTGTATGTGTGAGTGTGTATGTGAATGGTGGTTCAGAACGTCCCTGCCTTGGCTCTGAGAAATTCAATACTGAAGCATCTGTCTTTGTAGGCTGAAAGCATTCTGTTTGTAGCCAGGCTTGGTAGTGCATTTCCATAATCCCAGCTACTTTGGGAGACAGAGATGGATGGGAAGGTCACAAGTCGGGCAAAAATCACAGCCTTGGCAAAAATGAGGAAGACCAGATCTCAAAAAAATCAAGTCAGAACCAAGTGCCAGTGGCTCAGGCCTGTCATCCTAGCTACTCAGGAGGCTGAGATCTGAGGATCGCGGTTCGAGACCAGATGGCGCAAGAAACCATCTGTGAGAATCTTTTCTCCAATGAACCACCAGAAAACCGGAAGTGGTGCTGTGGCTCAAGGGGTAGAGCACTAGCTTTGAGTTGAAGAGCTGAGGGACAGCACCCAGGCCCAGAGTTCAAGTCCTACCACCGACAAAACAAAAAACCCTAAAGTTACTGTTCCACTGACATAGTAGGCATTTGCATTTTCTGTGAGGTGTCTTTTCCTTCGAAGATGTTTGTCTTTTCCTTGTTAATTTGTTACTGATCTTTGAATCTAATTAGTACACTCATTCTCCCCCCCACCCATTAGAGATGTTGTCAGTGTTTTCTTCCCATCTGTCATCTGCGTCTTGATTTTGTTGATGGTGTCTCTTGCCAAATACAAAATTTTAATTTCCATGGAGTCAGAGCTGTTCATCTTTTCCTGCCTTCCTAGGGAAAACTTGTCACGGTTTCAGGATTTGGGGAAGACTATTGGAAAGCAGCGTTTCTTTCACATTCACGCTCAAGCCCATCAGAAGAAATGTGTTATTTGTAGCAGTGGACAGCAGAGATGAAAATGAAGTTTTAGTTGTCCCAAACAGAAAGTCAGTTTGTTCCAACATTCAAGAGTCCTGAGAACTGAACCAGGAAACTTGAGGGAAGAGATGGGATACACTGGGCTGGGAGGGATCCTAGGAGGTGGGCTGGGAAGGTGTTTTAGTGGTAGAGTGCTGGCTTAGCATGCATGAAGCCCTGGGTTTGATTCCTTAGTACCACATACACAGAAAAAGCCAGAAGTGGCGCTGTGGCTCAAGTGGTAGAGCACTAGCCTTGAGAAAAAAGCTCAGGGACAGCGATCAGGTCTTGAGTTCAAGCCCCAGGACTCACTCACACACACACACACACACACACACACACACACACACACACACACATCTAACAGTGGATGTGCTCTTTCTTACCACAGCCCTCAGTGGGAGAAGGCTTTGTTCCCTCCCTCCCCCCAAGGTGGGCATGTGGCATTAACTCAGGTGGGCAAATGAAATCTACCCATCTGGTTGCTTATCAACCAACCCATCAAGGAGACCACTTGGATCAACCTGTTCCTGGGCATTTAATGACTGTTCACAGACAACTCTCACTGGGGCTACAGGTGAACTTCATGGTGACAACGCGGATGAACCTCCCAGTCCATTTTCTAGAACCTTCCACGCTGCTCTCAAGGACCCAGGAAAAGGTATACAATTCCCTCCCCCCTCCACCTCCACTCAGCCAGGCTGGTCCCCTGGCCTGCTTCACTTTTCCTCTTCCAACTTCTGTTCCAGAGTGGGGGATGATAAAGACAGAAGCGATGTGGGGTGCTGGCCACCCCTGGTGGGGGTGGGGGAGGCAAAGAGAACAAAGAAGACAAGGAGGAAGGAGACAGGATGTGGAGGTTTGCTGGAGAAAAGAAGAAATGCTCCAACTTCCTGCTGCAGTGTGTGTGTGTGTGTGTGTGTGTGTGGGGAGATCCAGAGGCCTCAGGAGACGGAAGGGGTGCAGAAAAGATCCCCTAAGCGAGAGAGATCCACTGTCTGCCCAGAGAGGGGAGGAAGGGAGGGAGGCCCGGCCTGGCCGCACACCCAGGCTGCTACGTGCTGCACACCAGCACGTCTGCGAAGGGTCCCGAGAGGATCTTGTTGAAGATGCAGCGGATCCACACCAGGTAGGTGGTGGAGGGCTTGATGTTGTCCGTGAACGTGTGGTTCTGCAGGGTCAGGAGGTGGGGCACGTAGGTGTTCTCGCCCTGCTCCTGCAGCCACACCTCGTACTTCACCTCCTTCACCTTCAGGTACCGCAGGTTCCAGGGCATCTGCCAGGACACGGTGAGGCGGGCCCCGGCGTCTCCCCGCGCCGAGCCCTGGCACCGGGCCTCCCGCACCTTGCTGGGGTACAGGCTGACGGCGCCCTGGGGCCGGCCCGGGGTCGGGCCGGGCCGGCCGGGCACGGTGCGCCGGATGGTCCGGATGAGCGACGGCACGTCCACCCGGGTGTCCTGGTAGATGCGGAAGAGCCACTCGGGGTTGCGGCAGCACAGGTGGCGGGGCACCTCGCGGCTCTGCACGATGCGCTCCTGCTCGGCCCGGTCGAGGTGGCCGATGCCGCCCTGGTCCCACGGCCGGTCCGGGTGCGTGACCGTGTCCTCGGGCCGGGTGTTGCGCCAGGCCACGTAGCGCAGGTCCATGCCGGGCAGGGTGGCCAGCGTCTTGTACGGGGTGTAGTGGTCCGGGTTGACGGCGTAGGGGAACAGCTCCACCACGGTGGCCCCGCGGGGCAGGAAGAGGGCGGTGATCAGCTGCGCCCCGTGCATGCTGACCAGCATGGAGGCCCGGCTGACCAGCCGCACCACGTCGGCGAAGGGCCGGGTCCCCCCCTGTCCCCCCTCCTGCTCCCCTTCCTCCTCCTCGTCCTCCTCCTCCAGGGACACGGTGAGCGTCTTCATCTGGAACTCGCGGGCCAGCTCCAGCAGCAGCTGCGCCTCGTTCAGGATCAGCCGGTTGCGGGTGCGGGTGAAGACCAGGATGTAGTCCTGATCCGGGGGTGGCGGCGGCGGCGGCGGGGGGTCGGGACCCCCGGGCCCCGTGGGCACCCCGAGCCGCTCGGCCAGGAAGCGCGCGAACTGCCGGATCTCGTGGCCCGACACCAGGATGTTGGGCTTGGGGCCCTGCGGCTGCGCGAAGCCGTACTGGTACCACGTGGTGGCCTTGCTGAGCCCCACGAAGGCCTGCGGGAAGCACAGCAGGCGGCCCAGCGCCGGGAGCTGCGCGCGCAGCAGCGGCGGCCGCGCGCTCAGCAGCTCGTACAGCCGGAAGTGCGCGCCGCGGCCCCGCCCCTCGGCGAACAGCAGCCGCGCGCCGCCCGCCAGCCCCGGGAACTGGCGCAGCGTGTAGAAGAGCGGCAGCAGGTCGTCGTGGAACACGTGCATCAGGTTGTCCGGGTTGAAGCGGTTGGCGATCAGCACGGGTTCCGGCACGAACACCGGCCGCGGCAGCAGGCGCAGCGCGGCCGCCGGCAGCTCGGCGAAGTTGAAGTACTGCGTGTTGTGGTCCTCCACCGCCGACAGGTCCAGCAGCGCCGGCTGGAAGCGCCGGGCGCCCAGGTTGGGCAGCATGGCCGACGCGTTGCCGTGGAAGAACACGAACTCGTCCGCCTCGCTCGAGTAGCACAGGCCCCGGAAGCGGCACACGCGCTCCGTGTGCGTGCGGCCCGTGCAGAGCATGCGCGTCCCGCCCTCCGCCAGCGCGCGCAGGGCGCCGGCGTAGTCGGCGGCGGCGCGCGCGGACTGCGCCTGCGCGGCGGCGGCGGCGGCGGCGGTGGCCTGCGCATGCTCCGCCTCCGCTTCCGGCTCCCGCTGCTGCCCGCCGCTCGCCTCCAGCGCGGCCTCCAGGCCGGCCGCGTGCTCGCGCAGCCGCACGTGCCGCCACAGCACGGCCGCCAGCACGGCCGCCAGCAGCGCGTTCACCACGGCCGACAGGTGCATCGTGACGCGGGGCGGGCGCGGGGGGGGCGCTAGCGGGACGCGGGCCCCGAGCACGGGCTGTGGGACCAGCGGCCTTCACCCATCCCGAGGGCCCGCGAGGCCTGCGGGGGAGGGGGAGGGGAGGGAGGGGGAGGGGGGGAGGGAGGGGGAGAGAGGGAAAGAGTCCATTGAGAACCATCACCAACTGGGCAAGTTCACAAAATTACATCACCAATAATGAGTTACAGGTTTTTTGTCTTTTTTTTCTGCCAGATCCAGGGCTTGAACTCGTGGCCTTGGTTGGGCGCTGTCCCTGAGCTGCTTTTGCTCCAGGCTGGCGCTCTACCCCTTGAGCCACAGCGCCGACTTCTGGCTTTGTGGTAACTGAGGAATCGAACCTGTGGCTTTGCAAGCATTCTCCCCCATTGAGCCACCTTCCCAGTCCCCCAATGATGAGATTCACAGCCTGGGACATGTTTTCCTCTTTCTCTCTTCCTTCTCTTTCCTTTTCCTCTTCCTCCTCCCCTCTCCCCCTCCCCCCTTTTGGCTGCTAGTACTGGGGTTTGGACTCAGGACCTGGGCACCATCCCCTTAACTTCTTTGCTCAAGGCCTCACACTTGAACCCCACACCTCTTCAGTGGTTCATTGGAGATAAGAGTCTCACCGACTTTTCTGCCCAGGGCTGGCTTCGAACCATGATCCTCTGATTTCAAGTCTCTTGAGTAGCTAGGGTGACAGGCGTGAGCTGCGGCGCCCCCCCCCCCCCCAGAAGCTCAGTTTTGACCCATGCATTGTAGTCCTACCATAGGAACCAGCAACCCCACCATTATCTTGACCCAGTGGCTCAAGCCTGTCATCCTAGCTACTCAGGACACTGGGAACTGAGGATTGCAGTTCAAAGCCAGCCTGGGCAGAAATGTCCCTGAGACTTTATATCTCCAATAAACTACCAAAGAAGTCAGAAGTGGGCCTGGGAATATGGCTTAGTGTTAAGAATGCTCACCTAGTGTGCATGAAGTCCTGGGTTCGATTCCTCAGTACCACATATACAGAAGAAGCCAGAAGTGGCACCGTGGCTCAAGTGGTAGAGTGCCAGCCTTGAGCAAAAGAAGCTCAGGGACAGTGGTCAGGCCCTGAGTTCAAGCCCCAGGACTGGTCACCCCCCCAAAAAAAACCCAAAAGGACATAGGAGCCAAATGGAAGACAATTGAAGTGACAAAACTGAAAATAGTAACACATTATAACCCACAGATTTAAAAAAAAAAAAAAAGGATCCCTCAGTCGGTAGCATTATAAATAAATGATTGAATAAAATGACTCAGGGAGAAGGAACAGATCTTTCTTGCAGAATTCCAACCAGTGCAAGGGCAATGGTACAAATAGAAAAAGAAAAAATCACTATTGGGCAGACCGCAACAGCAGTGATCGTTGCTTGACGAGATCTGCCAACAGGTGCTAAAATTAGTAGTTGAAACAGATCTGCACAGTCCCCAAAGTCTCTTCCCAAAGAGAGCCAGGTTACTTACCAAGATTAAAATAGTAATAATAATATAATAGGAACTGCGGCGGCGAAGCCAGGCAGAGCAGCCTGTACCAAGCCACCAGAGCCCAGAGCTCTGACGTCAACTGTCCCCTTGCTCACGTCACAACCCCCTTCCTGTGCAAACTACAATCAGTCCAGATTTCTCAGTGGGGAATTCCGGTTCCAGCACCGGTTCTAGCTCTCAGATCATCTTAAACCCAAATGGAGGGACATTTTCCAAGATGAGCTTGGAAGACAAGGTAAATTTGGGAACCTCTGATGCAAATAATGGACCAGTTAGTTGTCTTATTTTACTTTTCTGGTGCTGGTCCTGGGACTTGAACTCAGGACCTGGACACTGACCTTGAGCTTTTTAATTAAGTTTTTGCCAGTCATGAGGTTTGTACTCAGGGCCTGGGCTCTGTCCCTGAGCTTCTTTTGCTCAAGGCTAGTGCTCTACCACTTGAGCGACAGCACTACTTTGAGCTTTTTCTGTGCATGTGGTACTGAGGAATCGAACCCAGGGCTTCATGCATGCTAGGCGAGCACTCTACCACTGAGCCACCTGCCCAGCCCAGGATTCTTGTTCATGGCCATGCACATCAGTCACCAGACAGAAGAAAGTTTGGTGGTCTCACTGGGTTTTTGTTGCTGGTGGACCACGCAGGTAGGGTGCTCTGGATGGGTGGAGCCACAGGCCCTCTGGTAACCTAGCAACCCAAGGCTTCTTGCTGTAATGACTCCCTGCCCAGTCAGAGTGCTCCAGCAGCAGTTACAGGTGGCCAAGAAAGCTGTGGCCATTTGCTCAGCCAACCATATGGTGGTGGTTATTCCAGCTGCTCTGGCGCTGTGCTGAGAGACAAAGCCATCGATAGGTAGTTATAAAACCACCACGCTACACGCTAGCCAGGTGCCCGGGGCTCCCCCCTGTCATCCTAGCTACTCAGGAGGCTGAGATCTGTTCAAAGCCTGCGGGGGCAGGAATGTCTGTGAGACTCTGATCTCCAATGAACCACCAGAAAACCCAAAAGTGGCGCTGTGGCTCAAGGGGTAGAGTGCTTACCTTGAGCTAAAGAGCTGAAGGACAGCGCCCAGGCCCAGAGTTCAAGCCCCACAACCGACAAAAAATAAAAGCCACCACTCTTCAGAGCAAAAAGAAACCCTAGAAACATTATTTGCTCTCTTTCTCTCCTCCTCCTCTTGTTCCTCTCTCTCTCTCTTTCTCTCTTTCTCTTTCTCTCTCTCTCTCTCTCTCCCAGCCCCACCTGACCTAAGTCTTGAACTCAGGGCCTGGGCAGTGTCCCCTGAGCTGCTTTTGTTCAAGGCTAGCACTCTACCACTTGAGTCACGGCGCCACTTCCAGCTTTTTCTGTGTATGTGGTACTGAGGAATCGAACCCAAGGGCTTCATGCAAGCTAGGTAAACACACTACCACTAAGCCACCTTCCCAGTGCATCTGATGTCGTGTGTGCGTGCGCGCACACACACGTGCACACACCAGTAATGGGGCTTGAACTCAGGGACTGAGCACAGTCCCTTTGCTTTCTCTACTCAAGGCTGCTGCTCTACCACTTGAGCCACGACTCCCCTTCCTGCTTTCTTGAGGTGGATTAGCGACAATATTCCCACAGATTTGTCTGCCAGGGCTGGCTTTGAACCACCGTCTTCAGATCTCAGCCTCCTGAGTAGCTAGGATTATATAAGCTTGAGCCACCGGTGCCTGGCTTTTTAATTTAATTTTTGGCTGGCTAAGTGCAAATAAAAGTCACACGTTTGTCTTCCGGGGCTGGCTTTGAACCAGTATCCTCAGATCTCAGCCAGCTGAGCAGCTAGGCCCTAACCAGCTCCTAGCTGCAGCCTTCTTGCCCCGTGCAAGGGCCTAGTGTGTGTGTACGTTTGTCGCAGGCAGAGGGACCTTCCGCATGGGCTGACCCTCAGCTGCCCAGGGGGTTTCCACCAAGGGGAGGGAGGGGAAGGGGGGGTGCAGTGTGTGTGGGGGGGGTCTGAATGGGGATACCGAGGGGGGGGGCCCGGGTCGGGATGGGGTGCAGTGGGGGGGGTCTCAATGGAGATCCGGAGTGGAGGGGGAGGAGGGGCCCTGGGCCTGGATGGGGGTGCAGTGGGGGGTGGGGGGGTCTGAGGGCGATCCGGAGGGGAGGGGAGGGGGGTCCCGGGCCGGGATCGGGTGCGGTGGGGGTGGGGGATCTGAAGGGCGATCCGGAGGGGAGGGGAGGGGGTCCCGGGCCGGGATCGGGGTGCGGTGGGGGTGGGGGATCTGAAGGGCGATCCGGAGGGGAGGGGAGGGGGTCCCGGGCCGGGATCGGGGTGCGGTGGGGGTGGGGGTCTGAAGGCCCTCGCGCCCCGCCCACCCCGGCGCCCCGCGCACCTCGCCGCTGTGTCCCGCCGCAGACACCATCCCCGGCACCCACGGGTTCCCCCGCCGAGGGGGCGGAGAGGTCTGGGCCCCCCACGCCCAGCCTCCCGCACCCCGGGTCCGGAGGGCCCCCGGGCCCGTGCCGCCCGCTGCGCGCCCCTCACCTGCAGCCCGCCCGGCTCACGTCCCGGGAGGTCCCGCTGCTGACCCCGCGGCCAACGCGCACGCCGTGACGCCAGCCGCCCGCGCTGCCGCCACCTCCGCGGGACGCAGGTGTCCACCGGGCCGCCCGCCCGGCTCGCCGGCCCCGGGAGGAGGGGGGAGGTGTTGGGGCGCATGCGCAGGCCACCCCCCCCCCGTTGGAGGAATTCTGGGAATTGTAGTTTGCTTAAGAGCATGAGGCTGCCTCGCTGGAGGAGGGGCGAACAGCGCATGCGCGCATATCCCGTCCCTTGGTTGGAGGAATTCTGGGAATTGTAGTTCTCCTGAGAGTGTGAGCCTGCCTCCCTGGCGGAGGGGCGGGCTGGGCGCGTGCGCGGACCCCTGTCAGAACCTGCCCTCTCGCTTGCACTGTTGGTTTTTTTTTTCCCCCCCCCCACCTAATGGATTCTGGGAGTTGTAGTTTGCACCCGCCAGGGTGGGTTGTGTCTGTGGAAACCTTTAGCTAGGGGAACCCCACGCTGGGGGAGACTGATGGATAAAGTTGAAATGTAAGTTCAGATAATGACTACCTGACATTTATACAAAGGGGAAAACACCAGGGCATGTGTAAAGATTATACATATATATATATATGTATATATACATATATAGGGCTATAGAAAGCAAAATACAAAAGTTCTCTGGCCTGTGCACGCATGCTTGGGTGGGTGAGTGGGTGACTGGGTGGGGCTTGAACTCACGGCCTGGTATGAGCCTTATTTTATTTTTTTTTTAATTTTTACTCAAGGCAAGCACTCTACCACCTGAGCCAGAGCTCCACTTGTGGATTTTTGCTGGTTCACTGCAGATCAGAGTCTCACAGGACTCCTCTGCTGCAGCTGGCTTTGAACCACAATCCTTCAAATATCTCAGCCTCCCGAGTAGCTAGGACGACAGGCCGTGAGCCACCAGCGCCCAGCCCGGAGGATCCTTTCTTAATCACCCACCGCATCCTATGCCATGAAGGCCAGGACCAGAAAACAAGAGGATGTCTCTTTAAGGCCTGCTGCTCCAGGGAGCTCCGCACCGACCCTATCCCACAGCTCGATTTCTGGCTCACCTGTAACCATGACAACTTCATTGATACCAGTGGCTACGAAATGTAATTCAACCTGGATCAGGTTTGTTGTTTTTTTTTCTTTCCTTTTTTTTTTTTTTGGTCTTTTTCAGAGTAAGATTGGAAAAGCACTTCGCTTTGTTCGCTCAGGAGACTGAAGAATGGGGGTGTTGTGGTGATGTGTGGTTAAACTACCCTGCTTCTTTAATTACTTCTGTTGGTGCTTTTCCTTGGGGAGGGGAGCTATTCAAGGAAGACAGGACAGGCTGGCAGAAGAGAAGAAGAAAAAGGGTACCACTCAAGGAAATAACTGGAATTCACATAGTCTTGACTTTAAATAGCTGGATCAATACAAAATACTCAGGCATGAACACTGGCTCCTGGCAACACAGCCTAAGTGTGTGTGTGTGTGTGTGTGTGTGTGTGTGTGTGTGTGTTCCCAGTCCTAGGACTTGAACTCAGGGCCTGGGCGCTATTCCTGAGCTCCTTTTTGCTCAAGGCTATCCCTCTATCACCTGAACCACAGGTGTATGTGATACTGAGGACTCGAACCCAGGGCTTCATGCATGCTAGGCAAGTACTCTACCACTAAGCTACCTTCCTGGCTTTTTGTCAGTTAATTAGCAATAAGAATCTCTTGGGGCTGGGATTGTGGCTTAGTGGTAGAAAGCTTGCCTAGCACTCATGAGGTCCTGGGTTCAATTCCTCGATACCAAGTAAACAAATTAGCTGGGTGCCAGTGGCTTACACCTGTCATCCTAGCTACTCAGGAGACTTAGATCTGAGGATGGAGGTTCAAAGCCAGCCCAGGCAAGGCAAGCTCCTGAGACTCTTATCACCAATGAACCACCAGAAAACGGGAAGTGGCGCTGTGGCTCAGGTAGTAGAGTGCTCCCCTTGAGCTGAAGAGCTCCAAGACAGCACCCAGAACCCTAAGTTCAAGTCCCAGGACTGACAAACACAAAAATCTCTCAGACTTGTATGGCTTTGAACCACGATCCTCCAAGCTCAGCCTCCTGAGTAGCTAGGATGACAGGTGTGAGCCACCTAGTGCCCCAGGATGTGAGGGAGAGCGTGGGGTGGGAGTGGGGCTCAGCACTCACAATTTGCAGATGAGGCTTTAGTAGGGAAAACACTGATTGCTGAATCTTAGGCCCCAATAACAGACCTGAGCTCCCAAACACACCAGGCATGGATGACCTCCGCCCCCTGGTGTTCAAGTGAGGATATTACAGGAACGTGTCGACAGCCAGTGATTGTGTGTGTGTGTGTCGACAGCCAGTGATTCTGTGTGTGTGTGTGTTTGTGTGTGTGTGTGTGTGTGTGTGTGTGTGTGCGCTCTCGTGACAGTGACAGTCCTAGGGCTTGAACTCAGGGTCTGGGCACTGTCCCCTGAGCTTCTTTTGCTCAAGGCTAGCACTCTACCACTTGAGCCACAGCACCACTTCTGGCTTTCTCTGTGGTACTGAGGAATGGAACCCAGGGCTTCATGCATGCTAGGTGAGCCCTCTACCACTGAGCCACCTTCCCAGCCTGTTGAGCTTTTATTTTTCTTTCTTTCTTTCTTTTTTTTTTTTTTTTTTTTGTCGGTCGTGGGGCTTGAACTCTGGGCCTGGGCACTGTCCCTCAGCTCTTCAGCTCAAGGCGAGCACTCTACCACTTGAGCCACAGCACCACTTCCGGTTTTCTGGTGGTTTATTGGAAATAGGAGTCTCACGGTCTCTCCTGCCCGGGCTGGCTTTGAACCGCGATCCTCAGATCTCAGCCTCCTGAGTAGCTAGGATTACAGGCGTGAGCCACCAGCGCCCGGCTTATTTTTCTTTCTTAAGACTGGTGCTTTAACCAGTTGAGCCATACCTCCAATGTTCACATTTTGGTAGTTCACCAGAGGTCAGATTCTCACAGACATTCCAGTCCGAGCTGCGTTGCTACCGCTATCATTAGATCTCAGCTTCCTGAGTAGCTAGGACCACAGGCAGGTGTGAGCCCTGGTGCTTGGCTCCTAAACACATTTTATTTTTTTTGGGTCTGGTCATGGGTCCTGAACTCTGGGCCTGGGCGCTGTCCCTCAGCTCTTCAGCTCAAGGCTAGCGCTCTACCACTTGAGCCACAGCGCCACTTCCGGCTTTTTTCTTTCTGCTTATTTGGTGCTGAGGAATCGAACCCAGGACCTCAGGCATGCAAGGCAAGCACTCTACCACTGAGTCTTCCCAGCCCCATTTTATTCTTAAAAAAAAACAAGCCCAGAGAATTAAAAGACAAATAGAGACGTGCCTCATTATCTCTTGAGACAGGCTCTGTACAGTTGATTATTTTGGGTTCAAGGTAAGCCATGGTGGTTCAGGTGGGCAAACCTAGATCTGATCTAATCAGCAATCTGAAATCCAGTTACACAGGGGAGTCTCTCCCTATCAGGAAATACCGGGCTTGTCTTACAGGTAAAATGAAATATTTATCATCTGTGGACGTGTTGGGGAAAGGGGATGACAGGAGATTGTATTTCTGGCCTTCCCCCCCCCCCCCCCCCGAAGTCACAACTGTTAGTACGTAAGAAAAGGATTGCTTTTTTGATCTTTTTATGTGTGTGTACCAGTATGGGACTTGAACTCAGGTCCTGGCTGCTGAACTTTAGCTTGTCAGTCTTGGGGCTTGAACTCTGGGCCTGGGTATTGTCCCTGAGCTCTTCAGCTCAAGGCAAGCACTCTACCACTTGAGCCACAGTGCCACTTTCGGTTTTCTGATGGTTCATTGGAGATAAGGGTGTCATGGACCTTCCTGCCGGGGTTGGCTTTGAACCACGATCCTCCAGATCTCAGCCTCCTGAGTAGCTAGGATGACAGGCGTGAGCCACTAGTGCCTAGATGAACTTTAGCCCTTTTTTAAAAAAAATCAAGGCGGGGCTGGGAAGGTGGCTCAGTGGTAGAGCGCTTGCCTTGCATGCATGAGGCCTTGGGTTCAATTCCTTACCACCACATAAGCAAAAAGAAAAAAAGCCGGAAGTGGCGCTGTGGCTCAAGTGGTAGAGCGCTAGCCTTGAGCTGAAGAGCTGAGGGACAGTGCCCAGGCCCAGAGTTCAGGCCCCATGACCGGACCCAAAAAAAAAAATTAAAAAAAATAAAAATTAAAAAAATCAAGGCTAGTGCCCTACCACTTGAGCCACAGCTCCACTTCCAGCTTTTTGCTGGTTCATTGGAGATAAGAGTCTCACAGGTGTGTCTGCTTGAGCTGGCTTTGATGTGTGATCCTCACTTCTGAGCCTCCCTTGTAAATAGGAATGAGCTACCAGTACCTGGTTGTAGCTGGCTCTGTGTGTGTGTGTGTGTGTGTATGTGTGCATGCGCGCACGCTTTAAAAATCACTTTTCTGAGCCAGGTGCCGGTGACTCATGCCTGTTATCCTAGGTACTCAGGAGGCTGAGATCTGCGGATCTCGGTTTGAAGCCAACCAGAGCAGGAAACTCCATGAGACTCTTATTTCCAATAAACTACTCAAAAAAAAAAAAAAGCCAGAAGCGGCACTGTGGCTCAAATGGTAAAGCACTTGCTTTGAGAAAAAAGAAAAAAAAAAAGCAGTTCAGGGACAGCGCCCAGGCCCAGAGTTCAAGTCCCAGGACCGGCACACAGACACACGCACAGACAGATACACACACACACACACACACACACACCATTGCCTGGAAAATTAAACAGTGGGAAGGGAAAAAAATAATCAAAGAGATAAAAATGAGTGTGGTGGACAGGTTGGGGTGCCAACTCTCTGCTTGCGGGCCTCCTTCTGGAACCTTCCAGGCCAACACATCAGAAAGGCCCAAGAATTGACACAGAGCAGCCGGAAGCCAAAGAATTCTGGGAATTCTAGCCATAACTTCCCCTACTACCATCTCTCAAAGCAGGATGACAGGAAGGGGTAGGGGATGGGGGGGGGGAAGCAGATTGTCTAGACAGGATCTGGGATTTCTCCCGAGGGCAGCCCCTCATGGACTTGGTTGTTGTTTCTGTTTTT